TCTTAAACTAAAATAGCAAAAATTTTCCGCGTGAGCCCAAAATAGAGCAAATGCTAAGGCATAACTGAAAAGAGTTGCGATTTCCCGTCAGTACCAGTAAATTTTTGAGAAACCACCAAACTTTGATAAGACCGGAAGAGTAAAATATGTAAGTTTTGGGTGCAAAGTGCATGTCTCTAAAACTGAAAGAACTATAAATATGCCGTTTCAGTGCTCAATAGAGCAAATCCTGTTGCATAAGTGGACATATTTCCAGTTGCTCTCAGTACCGAAAAATTTTTGAGAACCTGCCGAACTTCGATAAAAGTCGAAGAGCAAGAAATATGTATGTTTTGTGTGCGAAATTCGTATCTCTGAAATTAAAAGAGGTTTAAGAGCGCTCGCTTTTGTCGTCAATATAGCAGATGTTGGTCCATCCCCCTGTGGAAACCTTCCACCCTAGCAATACGAAATTTACTCGCGAAATCCTGGTAAAAGATAAGGTTCTGTGGAAAGCAACAAATTATGTTCAAACCGTTCTTGGTTTTTAAGGCAAGTCGTTCTGAAATTCATCTAAAAAGTAATCAACTAAGCTTGAAAACAATTTAGATTTAAAAAAATGGCTCTTAAAGAATTAATCATTTAAAACCTAGAATTAGAGAGCTCAAAGAGAGACTGTAAGAAAATGGCGAAATGGATTTATAGACTTACTAATTTTAAGAAACGCAGCTTGGAAAAAGTGTAAATTGGCCGTAAACAATTCTATGGTTTTTTGAGAAAAATTACTGTAAAAATTGCATCTTGGTGGAGCAAACTTTTGGCTACTATTTGGCTCCTAACTCATTGAATTTTAAGTCGTGTTTAAAAACTGCTTTCATGCACAATCCAATTGTCATCAAAAGGCAGATTTTATATATCGACAATTTGGAAAACCAACCTTGTTAGGGGCAAGTGAACAATTCCAACCTTAAGTTTGGAAGATTTCCTCACTTGCAATTTGAAAATTTTGTGGTCAAATAGTTGTAATCTTATCCGAAACAGCTCAAAAAACGATTTATCTTTAGCTTCAGCAGAAAATTCTCCATTTGCTGAAGAAAACTAGGCTCTCTTCCGCCTAGGTATAACTTTTCGACTGATTTCCTAAAATCAAAAACAGTGTGAATGAGGAGAGAATTATCAACGAAAGGAATCTCCTGTGTATCAAGAATTTCCCAACTGAACCTAGCTAGCATTAAGTGAGCATTTCAGCCGTTACATTAACTCTCGGAATTGAAATCTCGCCACTATAACACGGCAAAGAAGTTGCAAAAGGGCTCATTTGCAGGCGCAAAGGAACTTCAGAGCCTAATTGGTTTTCGAGAAAAAAACACCTTAAAATTTGCTTTATTGCTGATCCAAACAGCAGTTTATAACTCGCAAAGGTTTGAGCGACTTTGAAAAGCCAAAACCCGTTTGTCATAGAAAGTTGCTAAATTACGGAGGAAAATATTGACCACTCTTTTGCTGATAACTCATTGAGCTTTAAAGTGATTTTTAAACCCCAACGCCGCCATGAAAGTGAGGTACATTTTCTACGGAACACACCTTTTGTGTGAGCGAAATTTGTAAGCGCGACATTGCTGCGGTCAGGTGAACATTTTAACCCTTACATGTACTCTCAGAAATGCTATATATTCACCATGCGTACAATATTTTATGAAAAAATCATCGCAACCGCCCAGGAAATGACTTTTAAAAAGAAAGAATTAGAGGGGGCGGAAGAAACGTTGCAGCGTTTCGTTTTTTGCAAAAAATACTTAAAAAAACTTGGGCTCATAACTTAATGAGTGTCGAAGGTATTTGGAAAAGCCAAAAAAGGGTCGGAAAACGGTACAAATTGCCAACAAACCACAGCTTTTGCATCTGAGAACTGCAGTGTTTCCCAGCTTGCAATTTCAAACGTATTGGAAAGAATATGGTTACAAGTTACACCCTTGGAACGGGACGAAAAGCATTTGTTTGAAGCTTGAGACCATCTTTATGACTTTATCAGTTGTGGAGAAACGCCGCTTTGAATTTGCCCATTTTTGGAAAAAAATTCCTGCCTCTCTTTTGTTCATAACTTTTGGAGTTTCATGCCGTTTTTGGAAAAAAACAAGTGTGCCGAACGGCAATTCCTTTCGCCACTAATTGAAAATTTTGAGTTTTATAGTCATACTCTCACTTATGACTTTCACAGGATGAAAGAACGTCACGTACACAAAAGAAACATCTAACATGGCAAACAACTGGCTCAATTTTACTTGGGACATTCGTCCAAAAGAGTTTCCATTCATTGTTTACTTTTTACAAGACTCTTTTGATCTGCTAAGACTGATTTTCGATCGAAAAAAATAGATATAGTTCTTTCTCAAAGTAGTACTGGTTTTCCTTAGATATTGGAGAATAAAAGTGCGCGTTGAGCCATAAACTGATTTTATTGCCTGGTGTTAGTGCTTTTCTTTCTATGAAGCTCATAAGGGTGTTAATCGAAGATTCCTTGTTCTGTGCGGTCGAATTTTGAACTGCTTTACGATCTCCTCAAGGAAAGTACCTGACCATTACGCGCTTATAATATAATAATGCATAGGGCTCGACTAATCAAGAAAAGCAGTGAAACAAATGAATATAAAACCGGTTTTCCATAACAATAATTATGATTAAGGTGCCAACGGTTGGTTTGTTAAATTTTTCCCTCCTAACTTGACCGGTTTCTAACACAGAAGGAAACCGTAAACATTATAAGAAACATAATTTGAGTGACTTTGAGTTTATTTGTGTATATTTGTTATTTTGAACATCGCCGTAAAAGTTTAGAGCAAAATAAATATATTCTCTTGAGACACTCAACGAAAACTTTAATAATTATTTTTCTTCCTAAATCGGTTACTTTTAACAACTTAAAAACACTTTTGTAAACAATTTTTTAGTGTCTTTCGTGTTGTGTTCTTGAGCGTTTTTTAATCCACAGGCGACTGTTGTATTTGCAGGCTTAAAAAAACTTAGTAGAGGCAATGAACCGTATTTTTGTCATTTTCGGTATGCCAAAAACTTGAAATTTTTTTCAGATTGAGGAAAACCAGGAAAAGTTTTAGATACTTTACTTCTGTCTTCCACTTTGTTTTCGATAGTTTTTTAATCTGCGGGTCGCTCGTAAAGTGACGGGTGAAAAAACCTCTCTTCTCTTGAAACACTAAAATGCACTTTAGTCAAAAATTTTCCCTCCTAACTTGACCAGTTTCTAACACAGAATGAAACCGAAAACATTATAAGGTACTTAATTTGAGTGACTTTGGATTTATTTGTACATTTTTTATATTTTGACCATCGTTGTAAAAGTTTGGACCAAAATAAATATAGTCTCTTGACACACTCAGCGAAAACTTTAATAATTCTTTTGCCGCCTAAATTGGCTACTATTAACAACTAAAAACACTTTTGAAAACACCTTTAAGTGCCTTTCGTATTGTGTTTTTGAGCGTTTTTCAATACACAGACTACTGTTGAAGTTGCAGGCTTAAAAACTGTCCCCACTAAAGACCATGAACTGCACTTTAGTAAATTTCGGTGTGCCAAAAACTCGAAAATTTTCTAATGTGGAGAAAAACTGGAAACACTTTTAGAAACTCGACCTCAATGTCTTCCACTTTGTTTTCGACAGTTTTTTAGTATGCGGGTCGCTTGTAAAGTCGCGAGTGGAAAGAACCACTCTTCTCTCGAGACACTGAAATGCACTTTTTGTCTTTTTCACTAGTACTCACTATTTAGTTTTCCATCGCCAATTTGGTGAATATTGTGAGCTGATAGATTTATGTGCTGACTTGTTCTAGTTCCCTAATGCAATTGATGTTTCTATTTGTTATATTCTTACTCCATTTGTGATTTTTTTAGTAATTTTGTTTATGTTTGCGTTAAGGTAAAGTGAAAAGTAAAGCTGTCTCTTCTTCTTCGTGTTGCTTTTAACTAAATCAAGGAAATCGGGGGTTTCTTTCTGATAATTTGACTAGTTTTCAGTTTATAATTCAAGGTATTTTAATATCAGAGAAGCGAGTGTAATACACTAMTAATRATAAARGCTCTTTCTTCCAAYCTGAATATGTAAATAAATTCAGCACAAGAACTGCTTAGCMAACGCACCCTAGGCATCAATTTCAAACAGCCGAATAGAGAGTATAAAACTGTATAATAAGTTAACAAACTAACAAAGAATATACAAATTTCWAGCCAAAGTTTGCTCAGAAAAGGAATAAAAATGCTTTTTAGTGGTCTTGAACCCATCAACCGAAGATTGTCTTAATTTGCAGAGAATATGAAATTATTTATTATTTTTTATTGCGCAATTTCACTTTATTGTAACTTTGCATGCATTTTAAATGAAGATATATGTTTATAGAAAAATTGCAAATTTGTATTGACATAAATCGGAATGCTTGCTTTCCAACTGCTTTTGCATGTTGAGGCAACAGCCAAAATACTCGGCCTTTATTTTAATCGATCTGATCGGCTCATCGAATGACGAGGAAATTAGAGCAAAATATTATTCATGCAGCAGGAGTGCTTTCTGCTATTGTGAGTGCTAGGAAGCATAATAGTTTCCATTAAAATACAAAAAGGATATTTTTGCCGGCCCCAGATTTGATATTGGATTGTCAAGTTTTAAAACTGGGAAAAATTGTTCAATATTCAAGGACATTTTACAACAAAAAGCCTAAAAGCAAAACCAAAGTTCCTTCATGTCGCCAATAATTTTTTCGTCCTGAACAGTGACTGTGCACAAAAGCGTGATCGAACAGGGTTTATCAATAATTAGCTTTGTTATAAATTAGCAGACAAACAATCGGGGCCCCGTTTGAGCGTTCGAGGGCTTTATTATCGCGAATATTTAACTGGATTTCAATGGAACCCTTTGGATCAAAGTAAAATTGGAAAATGCCCGAATTTTAGGGCTGCGAATTGATACGGCCTGGAAACGCTCATTCAGTCATACAAAAAAACACAGCGTCTCCTCGTCAAAAATCTATTTAATTCTACCGAACTTTCAGTCTGCGTCTACTACATATGGCAATTAATAAGAGAGCCGACCGGCAACAACGTAAAGCTTGCTCAAAGCCTCCAAGAAACCTACCAAGTTCTCATAGAGCAGAAACAACTTCCGCACCACACCAGCGAAGATCGGGATGGCCTCCAGCAATACGGCTATCTTATGGATGGCGGTTTCTTGAAGTTTTTTTTTTGCTCATCGCCCAAGAATTCTTTGTACATGGTGGACATCATCAACATAACGGGCTCGATAAAGTCGACGGGTGATCGACGCTCCACATCATGGTCGGTTGTGTTCTGATTTTTCTGCACTTCGTTCTAGAGGAAATTATTCAAGTTTTAACACCCGGATTGGCGGGTTGACTTTAATGAGGGCTACCTCAGAAGTGTTTTGTCCGTAGAGATGAATGGCCATTTTCATAATCCTCATCGCATAGTCCAGGTCTGAATCCTTCATATCGCGCTTAATCCTCCTCTTTTCTGGCGCATCCTCTTTCAGCAGAGCATCCAGATAATCCTCCAGAGTGTCCTGGCAGCCTCCCAAGGCGTAGCAAAGCTGGTAGACATAGACGGGCTGGAATAGAATGGCCAGCACCATCACTACGCCAATGAACCCAAGGAAACCTGCAGAAAAGGAAAAAATTCTGGTTATCTTCCCGGAATTTTCAACATTAATGGCTTACCTGAGGCGATCGTGCCCACGTGGTTCTTCACCCAGTCTAGGCCGGAAACGGGCGGCTGGACCACCATTAAAGCTTCATTGCCAGGTGGACGCCCAACGGGACCAGCTGAGATGGTGCTGAGCAGACAAGCCGCCCCCACAAAGAAGAAGACGACGAATTTTCGCCTGTAAAAGATCAAATTGAGTTCACTTTGGGGAACGGTTTGGGCCGATTGCATGTGGAACCGCTTTTCACATAACGGCCCTTTCCGACAATAAAAGCCGTAAAAGTTGTCCGTTTAATTTCCATAACAAAGGCAATCGTGCCGAATATTGGCCGACAAAGGAAACGCTCTTGTTAGTTCACGATATAGTTGGCCGTCCCTTGGGAGATATACGCACGGTCCAGAATGGAGATGGGAAACGGGAAAATTTGCAATTTTTCAATATACATCCACCGACATTGCGGCTGGCCGAAAATTGGGCTTTTCGAAGGCTGGTAAGAGCTGGGAATTTCAGCAAAATGGGCAAGGCTGCAAGGCACGTGGTCACTTTACTTACATGTTGAAGAAGTGCACCAACTGATCTCGACGAAACACCAAACACAAATGCGTTCGAATTTGCCAACTTTGCCCGAAGAATGCCTGGCCCAAACGCTGATAAGGAATCCACCAATACAAAGGATACTCGGAAGTAAAGGTATCTAAATGCGAGATTTATGGGCCATTTAAGTGGAATTTAAGGGATTTCTTCGAGTTTGACTAATGTAAAACATAGGTATACACTTGTTAAAGGATAAGTTCGATGGAACCCTGTGGGGATGGAACAGGCCGAGGTTCCACCTACAAGCTTTATATACAGGGCGACTAATCTTCTGCTTCAATGGAAACAATTCCAAGTCAGTTGGCAGGTTTCATTTGGGCTAAGAACTTGTATGTAGAGTTGGCCAAATTTCTAAAGCCTCCATAAAGTAAAGCTTTCGAGGTTCAGATGTGGGAAGTTTGCAAAAGCTCTTGAACTGCTGGAAGAATTAATCGGGAAAGTTTTGAGTTTGAAACCCCCCAAGCTCCATTTGTTTGAAACCTTCCACACTCTCAGTGGCTACTTTTCCTTCTGGCTTCTACATTTGGGAAAACAAAATAAGGCGCACATTTTCAACTTTCGAGTGCATTGCTAAAATGTAGGAGATTCGCAAAAGCGCCGAGGCTGCGACCAGATTTACCCAGGCAAGTTCAGTTGTTCAAACCTTCCCCACTATTGACGTCGCAATTGTTTTAACTCTGGCCTGATTTTGAAAATTTTTAAACCAGAATAAAGAGAAGATTTTGTGTATAAAAGCAGTGGAAAAGAAGGTCTCCTATTGATGGTTCAAATCTGTTATTTATTAAAACCCACTATGAATTAACGAATACAAATCTCTAGAGAATTCGCTCGGTATATTTGGGTTTCGGCGACCCAGCATTTAAAATATTTCAAAGGTATTTGGCTAAACGATAAGTAGCTGAATGTATGGTACTTACTATACTATCGCACATAAAAGATAACTTGGTGAGCTATTAACTGCTGTAAATTTTCATCTTTTGTGCTCCTTAAAAGGATATTCATCACCAGGAATCATTCAAGTTTCGTGCCCTTATTGAAACACATTTAATCGTTGGGGCCCTTTAAAAGTTACGCTTTTTCGAAAGCTTTAAGCATTGTACATACAAAATCTATAGAAGGAATAATTTTTTTGTCATTGGACATTTAAAATGAAGAAAGAGGGAATTTTTAAACAAATTCTAGTTTAATTGCTTTTTCTTAAACATTTAGTGCTTGTCGCTCTGTAAAAGTTAAGCTAGCATAGTTCTGCTATTCTCCTGGTCAAGGGTTGGATATTCCTCTTATATTTGAAGCAAAGTTAAGCGATTTCTTCGCGGAACCAACAAAACACTATAACACCTAAAACACCTGAAATTGTCTTAATTCCATAGGCCTTTAGACAGGAAATCACCATCCTTTGAAAGGATGCACATCAGCAGAAACTTTTCTGGATTTTTACTCTTTTGCAACATATTAAATTATTGTGGCTCCTTAGAAAATAAGCTTTGTGAATGAATGAAGTGAATGTGATGAAAATCGTCTTAGTGTTCTTCTGGTCAATGACCAGATGTTTTTTAAATCTGAAGTCAAGTCAAGCTATACCTCGTTTTCTGGAGCGGTTTCGGTTTTTAGTGAAACATGAAATAATCAAATTTAATAATGAATATCCTTTCATTAAAACTGCTCAAGAAAATTTTATTTAAACTGTTCAATAAACACTAAAAGACCTGAAAATATGTTAGTTCCACGGTAGTTTAAAAGAAGGAAAAAGCACCATCCTTTGAAAAGATAGTCATCAGCAGGAACAGTTCCAGTTTATTTACCTTTTCCAAAAAAAAATCATGCTCAGCACGACGAACGCAAGAAATGGTGTTTAATGCCAATGTTGACTCGTAAAGGACTACAAATTTGTCGAATTTTAAGTGTTTGCCATCGAATTTGAGTGTTCGAGTGCAGGGCCCGAAGCGTTTGGCACAACAGGCGCACTAAAGGGTGTTTAATTTTAAAGGTGTGCCGAGCCATTCGGGTTCGACACTGGTTTTGACGCAAACATCACTACAAACTTAACGATTTTTTATTTGATTTTTTAGTTTTTGCCATCCAGTCAGTGGCGTGTTCAACGGGCTCGGCACAGCAAATGCATTAAAGAATGTTTAATGTTAATATTGACTCCTGAAACACTCCAAATTTGGCAAATTTTGAGTGTTTTCCATCGAATTTGAGTGTTCAAGCGCCGAGCCCGCAAGGGTGTTAACGTTAACGTTAATGTCAATGTTAACGCGCAAGACACTCCAAATAAGCAAATTTTGAGCGTTTGCCATCGAATATGACTGTTTTACTGTCGTGCCCGAAGGGCTTCGCACAACAGAGGCACTAAAGAGTGTTTAATTTGAAAGTTGTGCCGATCCATTCGGGCACAACACTGGTTTTGACGCAAAAACCACTGCAAACTTAGTGATTCTTCAGTTTGTGCCATCCAACAGTGACGTTCCCGATGGGTTCTGCGCAACAAGAGCATTAAAGAATGTTCAATGACAAAGTTGATGCGTATAACACTCCAAATTTAGCGACTTTTGAGTGTCTGCCATCGAATTTGAGTCTTAGAGTGCCGTGCCGAAGGGCTTCGCACATTAAAGAGTTAAAGAGTGTTAAATTTGAAAGTTGTGCCGATCGGTTCGGACACAAGACTGGTTTTGTGACAGTGGCGTGCCCAAAAAGGTCTGCACAACAAACGCATTAAAAATATTCTTATGTCAACGTTGTGCCGAGCCTGTCGGATAAGAAAAAAACATAAATAAACAATTTGTATCTTTCAAATGGAACTAAACAGCGATTTCAAAGTGGCCCATGTTTAGAAGACCCTTGACTATTTAATCATTCATAAAAATTACCCAAAAGGCCGATTTCTTCCTTGCAAATTTGACGAAAATAGAGAAAAATTTGAGGCAATTAAAAATGAAATTCGTGATGTAAAAAATACTGAAAATGTACATGGTGTTCTAAACTAAGGGTTCATTTTCCTGAACGCTTAAATGAAATATAGAAAAAAGCCGTAAAAATGTACACCTATAACAAGTGAATTTCTAAATCATTTAGGGATGTTTTACACACGCATTTTAGTTTAAAGTTTAGTTTTGCAGTTAGTACAAACTGCATTATTTGAAAAATTGAAATTTGTTGATGTTCAAAATATTTTTTTGATATTCCGTGGTTGCGAGCTTCAACGTTTCTTCCCGGTGATTTGAAGATTTTATAAATCAGATCTTACTCTTAAAGCACGATTTATGCACAACATTTAAACGAATTATGGAAGGGGGAATAAATTGAATAAAATGTTCCAATCTAATAACTAACGAAAAATCACTAAAACACTTGAAATGATCAGAATTCTATCGGGCTTCAAATAGAAAAGCACCTTTTTTGAATCGACTGCTTAAGGCTCTATAGATGTAACGCGTTTTTGAAAACTTCAGCTTGACTAAACTGCTAGATAGACAAGCCAGAGGTGAAATGACTATAGAATTGTGCATATCAAACCTGCGGGAAAAATTATTTTTTCTCATTGGATGTTGAAGCGATTTGGTGCCGTCGATTCGTTTGGCCTGAATTTGCAAAGAAAACAATCCGAATGTCATATTGAATAAATTAATCGGCTTAAAAGGACTGCCAGGCAATGTGTTCCCACTCAATTATGGCTCCATACTCCTAATTTCACTGTTATTTCCATAAAATATCGAAAATTCAACATTACGCCCGAATGGAGTTGCATAAAGGGGTCGAAAAATTTAATAACCGCATTTGCAGCGAAATGCGCTTTTAGCATTAATTTTAAATAAATATTTATGGGCGCATGTATGCTAGATGCAAAGCTTATTGAAAAGGGCTGCAACCTGCCACTGGAAACAATTAAATTCGTTCAATATTACACGGAAATCGAACTTCCTTGACTGAAACCGGCCTGTTTCCATCGGGGAAACGAATGAAAATTTTAAAATTCAATAGGCACAGATTGAGAACAAGGAGAATTTGATTAAAACGAAAGAAAACTGATTGGGTTCGGATGCATTGTTCCGTGCACGATGCATTTTGCGAGTTAATTTTCTCTCAAAGAATTGATTTTGCCGCGAAACGGTACGAATTCCATTAAGGCACGCTATTGGAAATGCGGAAAATTGGAAAGAATCATAGAAAGATGAAATCAAACTCCCAATAAGGGCAGAAATCCAATAACTTATTCCTGCCGAGGTTTCATGACAAATTCTCATCAATTTATTCTGTACAATCAAGCCAAAAAATACTATTTTAGGAATCCAGAAGCTCAGAAGCAAATGAGGCTAATTAACGCTCAGTGAAATCCATTGGCGTGCCTCAAGGGCATATATCTTCATGCAAATGACCAATTAATAACACTCCGGCTAAAGAAGAGTCGATTAGACCGCATTCGCTCGACCATCCTTCAAACAGGAGGTCAGTTGAGAGTGTCCACTCATCGGCTTTTGCTGGAAATTCGTCCTGAGATGTGCACGATCGCCCCTGATTTATTGCCGCTTAATGACCAAAGTTTTACACTATTGTGTCAGCACTGTTCGAGAATTTGTAGCTGTTTTTGTGCGCTGCCAATGAATCAAAATTGCTTCGGAGCGGCAAGGACGCCCCTGTTTTTTGCCGCCCCTGCTCGAATCAGCGCTGATATCCACGAAACTTGATCATTAAAAAGGGAATAAAGCAGGGAAAATCAGCTGAGAAATAGCAAGCACAGAACCCAGCAGGAATATCAAGTGGCTTTGTATGCAGGCGTTTTGCGAAGAATCCCTAGAAGAAAATTGCGGTTGTTTTATGGAAAAGGGCCAGACGATCCGAGTGCTGCGAGTGAAATCACGTACTGTGCAAGCCAGAAGGAGTCGGAGCTATTTTGCAATTAACTCCTGCTGGCTAATTTATATCAGCAATTTACCCACCTTATCTGGTCACCTTATCTCAACCGCTACTGGTAGAAAAAGAGCCTTGAGAAGTTTTTAGTCTTCTTAAAAAGCCCTTATGCTTTGATGCTTTTTCTTGAAGGTGAAAGTGTCTAAATGGTCCATTAGGTTCAGTTAGTTTGGAACCCATTTCATCCTTTAACCGGGAGAATATTGGCGACAGACTTTTTCAAAAGCTCAATCTAGTGAATGTTTCGCATTCGGCCACCCAGTAACATAAGGCCAAATCCATTGTTGTTTTCAAATTTAAATCGTGCGCTCTGACCCTCTGACTGAGTGATTAATGAGCCCGAACTTCCGGCTTCAACTTTTATTACGTGTTTTCTTTTTCGAAAAATATTAATCAAAACGGACGCGGGCCATTAAAAGGCTTTCTATAATTTTTCCGAACGACCGGAATGGAAAAATGCGCCTCGTTAAAGTTTCATCTCGGCCATTTTTCTCCAAAGTTTCACCGGTAGCGAACGGGGGACGATGAACGGATGTTTATAGAAACCTCACCAGGAAATGGGAATGTTTATTAAGATGGGGTCTGCGAAAGTACGTGGGCAATTATTCCCCATCGTACAATGGGAAGACTTTCAACGTGAAAGCTTGCGCTTTTAGCGATTTTCGTTTCGAGTCTTATTTTGGTCACAGTTTACAACCTAATTTGGATTATTTCATCTTCCAGTCTCCAGGTATGCCATAAACGCTAAGGAAAATTTCGGATGAAAAACATTGACGAGCAGAAGGCTGAATGAATTTTACCATTTTATATTCCTAAGACAATTTACGAAGATCGAAACCTGGGAAAAGTTTTCCGCAGCTTGTCGAAGTTTTAATTATAACTGTTGATGTGTTCAGCAAATATTACACTAAACGCAACAAAACCTGTGAACCAGACATTTGTGGTCAGTTTTCACTATGAAAATTAATTTGACTGCATCTCCAAAACTAAGTTATAAAAATTTATGGGTTTCAGTCATTTATATTACATTTATTTGCAAAAACTGATGTTGTGAAGTGCGGTTATAAAGCGAAATTAAGCAGCGCTGTTCCGATTGAATATTTTGATACGCTTTACTCCGGCCAAAAGAATTTCCATCCAGAAGAACACCTATTTTCAAATCAGGTTAATGAGAGAATCATCAAAACTGTAAATATCCGAAGTCTTCCTAATGGAATTACTCAGTATTTCTGGACTGGGAGAAAACAATGTTAAAGTTCTGGGGTCGATTCGTGGAACTCTGCACTGAAAATCATAAATTAACTTCCAATCCAGGCAAGGCTCCCGCCGTATGATAAACCTTGGAAGTTGCAAAACTTTCAGATTTTTTCGCACGAACCTGAACTAAATCTTTCACCAGATTTATTATGAATCTCCTAGTTTCGCTGCAGCTTATCATGTTGCGATGATTAAAATCCGACGACGAAAGTCGCTTTAGGAAAACGCCGCCCGGAATTCAGATCGCAATATTGAAACCTGCCTGAACATGTAGGCTTATTGAAGTGGCCATTGTGCTAGAAGTGCAGGAGTCGCTTTGAGAGGATCTTGAAGAAATTACATTTTTCAGTATCTCCCTCATCTTATCGAAGTAAACGCTTAAATATATGTGAACAAGTCCACTAGTGCGTGGGTTTAGATGCTGTAAAGAACGTAACAACGGATGAGATTTTGGATATTTACAGGTAAAGTATGATCTTCCAGTGATGGACTGCAAATATTTGCGAACAACTCTTGGGTGGGTTTTCTCTGAAAGTGGCCAACAATGCAACAAAGAAATTGCTTCTATAAGAAGCAGTTAATTCTAAACAAATTGAGACTTCTAATGTCTGCAAGCATCAATAAAAGTTTGGATGAAGTTTAAAACCACTCCAAAACAGTGTGCCACAAACAATAAACGACGTTCATAATTATATCGGCTTGAGGGCAAAATAACAAAATTAAACTCCGGTTCTCTAAACTTGGTCTTATTTTGGATAATGTAGAAGTTACAATTTTATCCGATGCGGCAAGAAGTAACTCTCACTTTTGGCGGCATCTAGTCATGATATTTTAGCAATTCACCAGGTATAAATAGTTATGTAGAATTTTCTCTTCAGGCTTTCACGCCTCCTGATGCCCATGGTTCCAAGCAACATCTGTTTTCTTTTCTTAATTGACTATTTTCATCTTTGACCTGGGCGTGCTTTGGAGTTTGTACATTTAACTGAAACTTTTTCTGTTTCAACACAGAACTATCTAAAAACTTTTTAAATTTTAATCTCCAGAAATGTAAGTAGTGGTTTGCGTGCATTCGTTGGCAAAGTCGCTGAAAGTTTGATCAAAAACGCCCAGAATCCTGATTAATTTTGCCTGCTTAGTAAAGATCGGTCCCAAAATGAGTGTTTGTATCCTACTCCCTTTTCAAAATTTGTGTGTTTTAAACTAAAGCAGATAGAAACTTGAAAATTTTGTCGGCTCTAGGAGATAATTGTCGCTTAACAGGTTCATTAAAATCCCCCTGAATCCCGATTTTTGGAAACTTAGTAGCCATGTTCAAAACTCAAGAAGCTAAAAATTTGAAATTTGCACCAGCTAGGCACAAGATGAGTGTGGAATTACGCAGAAACTTTTACGAAAATCACCTAAAATGCTGATTTTTGCCAGCTTAGTAAATATGGGTTTTCTGAAGCTGTCTATGAATGTTTAGACTCAACTGGGCGCTACCATTTAAAAATTCGTATCTTCCAAACTAAAAGAGACGAAAAGATGAAAGTTTCTCCACATTTGGCAGGTTTCTGTCGCTAAGCACCAGGAAAGTCCCATTAAAAATTCAGCAAAAATGCTCATTTTTGCCAGCTTAGTAAGAATCAGTCTCAGTATGAATGTTTGCTCCCAACTACTCGCTCTTCTTCAAAGTTTTACATCTGCCAAAGAAACGCACGAATCCATTCCAAATTTTCACCAGCTTTGACAGGCATAGTTAAAACGTTGTGTCTTCTTCACAAATAAAGCCAAAAATTTGAAAGTTTTACAGAGCTTAGGGGATACAGAGCTTAGGGGCCGCCAAGCACCTCAAAGTTTTATAAAAATCTCCCAAGATCCTGATTTTTTGAGAGCGTAATAAATATTTGTCTCAATGTGAATTTTTGTCCCAACTGCGCGCTCCCTTTCAAAGTTTCGCATGTTTCAAACTAACGCAACTAGCGATTTGAAATTTTGCCTAAATTTGCAGCATATTACATATTAGTTGTAAAGTTTTATTAAAATTACTTAAAAATATTTTTTTTTTCCAGCTTGGTAAATATCAGCATCAATATGAATGTTTAATCCCCATTGCGCGCCCCCTGTAAAGTTTTGCACCTTCGAAACTGGCGAAGGTAAGCGACTCGAAGTATCAATCCGATTTCAAAGACATACACTGCTGAAGAATCTGAAAGGCTAGTAAAACTTGCCTGGGATCCCGATTTTTGCCTGCTTAGTAGATATCGATCTCAACATGGATGTATGTACCCAACTGCGCTCTCTACTTTAAAATGTCGCGTCTTCTACACAACAATAGAAAAAAAATTGAGAAACTTTACCAGATTTGGAAAATTGTTGTCGCGATGAGTGTCGAAAGTTTCATTAGAATTTTTGGAATTCAAATTTATACCAGTTTAGTACATTTCGGTCTCAATAGGAATTTTTGTTTCCTACTGCGCTCTCTCTTTTCCAGAGCGTTCATTTAAAGTTTTACATCTTTGAAATTGGCGCAAGTAGTCCATTCAAAATTGCTATCAGCTTTGTACGACATGCGTTCTCTACAGATGCTGAAAGTTTCATAAAACTTGCCTGAATTTCCGATTTTCGCTTGGTTAGTATACATCGGTCTCAAAATGGATGGGTGTTGGGTACAAATATTGCGCTCGCTTCTTTAAAAATTCGTGTGTTCTACAAAAACTGAGCTTAAAATTTTAGATTTTTTGCAGGTGTGTAAGATAGATGTAGCCAAATATATCAAAAGTTTTATAAAAATCTCCCGAAATCTTGATTTTTGGGAGCTTAGCAAGTATCTGTTTCTAGATGCACGTTTTTTTCTAACTGGGCGATCTCTTGCAAAATTTCACGTCTTTCAAACTAACACAACTAGGCATTAAAAAATTGCACTACGCTTGCAGCATGTAAGTCTGTACCGGTTTTGAAAGTTTAATAAAAATGGCGCTGCTTCCTGAATTTTGCCTGCTTAGTAAATATCGATCTCAAAATGGGCATGTGTACTTAACTGCATGCTGCCATTTAAAAATTCGCATCTTTTAAACTACAGGAGGCAGAAATTAGACAATAGCTGTCGCTAAACATTACGAAAGTTTCATTCAAATCACACGAAATTCTGAGTTTTGCGAGGTTAGAAAATATCTGTATCAATACGAATGTTTAAACCCAACTGCGCGTTCTCTTTAAAGTTTCGAAGCTTCAAAACTGGCGCAGGTAAGCCATTCAAAAATTCAACCAGGCTTGGAAGGCATTCTGAAAGTTTGGGAAAGATCGCATGGAATCCTGATTTTTGCCTACTTAGTAAATACCGGCCTCAAAATGGATGTATGTACCCAAGGGCGCTATCTCCTTTAAAAGTCCATATCTTCTACAGAAAGAGAGCTAAAAATTTGAAATTAACCCCAAGTTTGGAACGTAGTCGTTGCTACGTATGCCAAAAGTTTCTTAAACATCGCCCAAAATCCTGATTTTTTCCAACTTAGTAAGTATCTGTCTCAACATGAATGTTTGTTCCCACTGTTCGCTCTTCTTCAGAATTCTTCAAATTTAAGCAATTCCAAATTTTTACCAACTTTGACCACCGACACATTTTTTTTGAAGATAATGAAAGTATTAAAAAACTGCTTAGTAATTATTGGTCTTAAAATGGATAAGTGTACACAACCTCCTCGTTTACTCATTTAAAAATTCGCGTCTTCTACACGAAAAGATACAAAAATTGAGAAATTTCTTCTTTCTTTTCCAAATGTTGCGCTTCTACACTGAAGGAGGCATAAATGTGAACGTTTGACCGGCTTAGATCGATAGTCGTCGCTAAATATTCCAACAGTTTCATAAAAATCTATAAAATTGCGAGCTTAGTAAATACGGGTCTCAATTTGAATGTTTAAACCCAATGCGCGCGTTCATTTAAAGTTTCACATCTTCGAAACTGGCGCAGGATGTGTGTTGGTTACAAATATTGCACTCTCTTCTTTAAAAATTCGCGTCTTCTACAAAAAATGAGCTAAAAATTTGAAATTTTTAGCAAGTTTGGACGATAATGTGGCCAAATATCTCAAAAGTCTTATAAAAATATCCAGAAATCCTGATTTTTTACGCGCTTAGCAAGTATCTGTTTCTATATGAATGTTTTTTCCAACTGCGCGCTCTCTTTTCAAATTTCACATCTTTAAAACTAACGCAACTAGCCATTGAAAATTTCCACAAAGTTTGCACGAAATTAGTGCCCATAGATTTTGAAAATTTTGTGAAAATGACGGTACATGCTGAGTTTCGGCTGCTTACTAAATATCGAGTTTCAAAATGGATGCATTGTCCCAACTGCGCCTTAAAAATTCGCAATCTCTACACAAAATAAATAAAAAATTTGAAATTAACACCAAGTGTGGAACGTAGTCGTTGCTAAATATTCCAGAAGTGTTGTAAAAATCGACAAAAATCCGCTTGGTTGGTAAGTACTTGTCTGAATATGAATGATTTGTCCTACAGTGGGCTCGCTTAAAAAAGTTCCAAAGCAATGCAACTAGCTATTCAAAATTTCTCAAATCCAAAAAACTCGTACAGCGTGCTTACTTTTTTCACTTGTGCTTGACTTTACGTCTTCTTTTCTTACCTTCTTTTCTATGGACGTTACCCAGATTTTTTTTCAATTATGTGGGAGACTCTCTCCCTGTAGGTATTTGTTAAAAGCTAAAAAACTGTCGATCCATTTTTGATTAATTCTGCGTGTATTCCTTCTGGACTTGAGGCGTGTCAATTTTTTAATAGTGATATTGCTATATGCATTATATGCTAAGATCTTTTTACAAGAATTTTTTTGTCTTTTTCAATGTTTTCAGGATTTATAGAGTTAACACTATTATTGGTAAATTTTTAGTTGGATCTCATGTTTTTTATGAATCCCCAGACTTTTTGCATTTTCTTTCCCCAATTTATCTAATTAAGTTCATGACATGTATGGCATTTCTTTTTGGCGCTTTGGTTTCTTCGTCTGTTATCGTAGATTTAAACTTGGCTATAATAATTCCATACTCTCTTTTGTATTCTATTTACTTTGCATCTAACCAGCTGTGATAAAAGTTTTGCTTTTTATTTTTTGTAGCTCTTGGTTCCACCAATAATTACTCTCTCTGGATTTGCCTTGTTGTTTCAAGTCTACATTTTTCTGATACTTTTTGGTCTAACCTTACTATACATAATTTCAATCGCGGCTTTAATTTGTTCGTCTATTGTTCTATTCACTTGCAAGTTTACGAATAAAACCATCACTAACGAATTTCAAAATTTAGTCTTTAATTGTTGGTTTACCTGCATATTAATGTGTACTTTTGCTGCTTAATTTCTAACATTAAACTGCGCAACCGTTCATAAAACTGTTCAACTTTGCTCATAACCTCACTTCACAACATCAGTTTTTTCTAAAGTGCAACATCAAAGCTTTGATTTCCATTTCCACTCCCTAGGAAATGTGTGCGAATGTTTCCAATGGTTTTCCATCGCTGATTTTAGTACTGGTTTTAATCGCTGCTTATGCGCCCCAGAAACTTCTTCAAAGGAATGAATTGCATTAGTTGTACTTTTCGATAAAAGTTCAAGAGTTCGTTTTGTAAAGTTTCATGATTAAATGCTTTAAAAATGCACCAGTAAAGATTTTCAGTTAATTTTCAGTAATCTTTCTAAGTTTCCTCTTTACGGTTTCTTCGGGTTTTTTTCTTGTTCTGGTTTTGTATCATTTAGCTCGCTTAAGCAATCATCGGTTTGAAAAAGGGCCATGATCTGCTAAATAAAAGCAGTAAAAATATCCAAACAATTAACATTCCAATTCAATGCTCAACAGAAATCGCTTTCTCTGTAAATAGTGAAACCACGAAAACTTCCAGTATTTGTCATGTGTTTTGGCATGCTTTCTTCGACCAATGTAAAGTGGTATCGTCAGGTCGCAGCTGAACACAGAGCCGGGAATTCTCGTTAATTTCCCTGAAAATAATGCAATTTTGAAAGCGTATTGTCACTAGATGTTATGCAGTCATTCCAGTTTCCCGGGCCTTTGATTGTCTCCTGCAATGTCTTTCACTGCAAATATGCCTGATTGTTTGGAACGTTTTGAGGTTTTAGACGGCGAAATGTGAAATGAGGAATTAACTGAAATGTTAAAACAGCAGACTGGCAGGTTTGGGGCGCGTTTAATCTTTGCCAATGGAACATCCATTGTCAGTAGATTCCTGCCAGTGTTTGATTGATTTGCTGAATTATCGCCCTTTTTGGTTTTTCTTGTGAATGCCCCACCTGTTTCTCCTACTCAATTTCGGGCGGAGCCACTGATGAACTGAAAAAAACTAAAGGCAGGACTTGAGACTGCCAGTTCTTGCTCTGTTTGATTTTGATTGATTAACTTATTTCCTGCAACAGCATTAATTACCATCGCCCAGTCGCAAGTTTCTGCCTAGAAAACACTCAAGCTCGACCCGCTGGGAGACACTGAACAATGCTTTTGTCGTCAATCAATTTACCATTGGAAGGTAAACGAAAAAACCCCAATAACGAAAAGCGTTTTGGGACAAGATAAATGAAAAACAATCAGGACAAGCAATCCTTCCAGTTTAGCATAACTGGTGAGCCTCGCAAGGGCAGAACCGCCCTCTGGACCTTTTTTGTCCATGTCTGACCTTATTCGTTTCCCTGCATCATCCTTAAAGAATGGAACACAGTGGCGTGGATACAATTTTTTTTGGTGAGAGTATGGAGTTTGTAGTGCAATTTCCAGAGTGGCTGGAACTCAGTTTGCGTGGTGGATTGTTGAGCAGTTCTGTTCGTTTTTCAATACACATTGTTTAGTTGATATCCAGACAGGAATAGAGGAAAAACATAAATCTAGCCAGCCTCTCGAATGAACACACACGCGAACATTGGCAAATAAATCACAGCAAACGCGGATTTAATGAATGGGATCCGTGATAAATCTGTATCGAGAAATGGCGGCCAATTTTCCCCGGGTAATCGGAAAATTCTTTGAGTTATTGAGGTGATCAGGAATTAAGCCT